TCGAACCTGACAGTCTGTTCGCAGGATACGCGTGTTATTTCGCACTGAAATAAGAAACGATACAAGGGATGAAATTACAACACGGCGATGTTTTATTTTGAAGCCATATGTGCTTGTTAAAACGAATGTTAGCTTGAAATTCGTCTACATGATATGTCTAAGGCTAAAGTACATAGCCATTGAAAATTATGTGAAATAAAAGCCCTAGAGTCTTGTAAATTGCTATTATTTTTAATAGCGACGTTTCGTAGCATTAACGTCCTGACTTGATTGGACCTAATGTATTTAATTTTAAACATTGAAACCGTTACGGTCGACACAAATTGGCTTCTCACCTTGACTTGTATTGAGTTTGCTTCCTTGTTTATATCATTGATTCCGAAAGGTTGACGGTGTTATTCAACATGACACTCATTGCATAATTATCAGTCCACTCAAGTCGGGGTGCTCATAATACGATAAATTTTAAGAGTTTCATCCCTTGTCACATATTTATATGTTGCCGCCTCCTATTTCAAATCCCGCGCATCTCCCACGTGCATATCCTGCGAACAGGCTGTCAGGGTCGAAAGGCGGTGCTTTTATATAAGCTAATAATAGATCTTAAATAAATAAAAAAACATACAAATACAAATCAACTTATATGTTGTTATTATATGTTTGACTATAGGAGTATTATTATTATATGACATATTAGTGTAATATAGTGAAATAATTCAATTAAAACACAGATCAACGCTTGGTCTCAGGGCACAGGCCAATATTAAATTGTTTTTACTTAAATTGTTGAGTAATTTCAATGACCCATTTGCTGAGTGTGAAAAGCATGATGGTAGTTTAGTTACACATAGCTGAATTTTCCATCATGGCGCTTGCTTTCTTTGAAGTAGAGTAGACAGTGAACAAATGAAATTTAAAGAAAAGTTTATCATTTTCACTTTGATTAAAGCTTTTGCCAAATCTGTACGTCTGTCTTGTTCTATATTTCCACTCTGTCTTTGGCTTCTCCAAGCGAATGGTTTTGAAATATTTAACATGGCGTACAGAGTTGCTGAAGTGTGAAAGTGCTTCGTTTCGATATGGTCAGACACAAATTGTGGTATTTTTCACGTTGTAAAGGTACGTACTTGGTTAGATTACTTCTTAGATCAGGAACACATTGTGGATCATTGTTTAAATGGGAAAATATGGTGATCAACTCATTTCACGCGGCTTGAGACATGAAGATGTTCTCACACTAGGTCAGCCTAAAAACAACACATGTTTGATCAAGTGTTATTTTCACAACCAAAACATTGAGCTCGTTTGGCACGAAAACTAACTGTTTGAAATACCTAGCTTTCTCATTTCAAATATTTTCACTGTTATAAAAAAGTGGATCAGTAAAAAAATTGAAAAAAGCCGTATGTTTTGAAACTTTATGTCAAGGAAGAAATTACTTTATGTCAGGTTAATTGCAAATTTTTGAAATTCAAACTATATGTATGTTGTTTCCCAGTTTCTACGCTATCTTTTAATGTGTTTTTATACGTGTTTACGTTCAATATCGTGTTAATAATGTTTATATCAATTAATGTATTTTAAACAAACCCCTGTCATTCGACTTAAATTACCACATTTATATGTAGTGTTTTATCATTTTAAATTAAACAAGTGAATGTAAAACTAAAGTCCTACATTTATAAATTTTATGAAAAGACCAAAGTTTGGCAAAGATGAAAAGTCAAACTTGCAGTTTTTAACTATGTTTTGAAAAGTTTTCGCAGCGTGCATGCTCAAAAAGTGAGCTTGTAAAGTTGAAACAAAATCACTTCAGCAAAAATTTCATCTTAAAAGTACTAGTCATTTAGTTCAATATACTCAATTTTTGAAAAAGTCTATAAAGCAGTTTTTGTGGAACACATTTTGTTGATATCTCAAAAGTTCAATTTATAACTGCACCTAATTTTTTGAAATAATCCCCCACTGCATACTCCCTTTACCCCTACCAAATTTTACAAACTTTGACCGAAGGAAATTTTAATAAATTCATTTTTAGTGTAAAATGTAATGTCTGCCATTTCTCAACAACTATAGGGAGCCACCTTAACCCATTGAGTGGCGATGCACCCTACTTTAGTATTTTACTCTGCGTAACGCCAGACGATTTTACTCGTCAAGGGAGAGCGCTGGCGCTTAATGGGTTAACTGGCCTATCTGCCCATGTGTCGAGTTAACCCATTGAGTGGCGATGCACCCTTATGCACCCTACTTTAGTATTTTACTCTAACTTCTTTAGTATTTTACTCTAAGTATTTTACTTTGTCTAACGCCAGACGATTTTACTCGTCAAGCGGAGAGTGCTGGCGCTTAATGGGTTAAGTGCTATTCACTGCTGTTGGGTGTTTTAGTGGAGTTTTCAACTACAAAAAAATTGTATTAATATTGTTCGCTTGTACGACTATCTACTTGGCCGGTTTTGGACTGTTTCTGGACCAGTTTTTTCACAAAAAAATGGAAAGTAAGATGGGAGAACTGACCAAGGACAAAAAGTATGGACGTACAACCTGTTGTGTGCCACTTTGTAGAAGCAACAGTGTAAAAAATCCAGAACTGTCTTTCCACAAATTCCCCCAAGATTCCAGCTTAAAGGAGACATGGCTGAATTTATTGCATTTGAAAAGCCATAAAATTTGCTCTTTGCATTTTCCTGGTGGAAAGAAATCATTTGGAGCATTACCAACTGTCCTTAAATTATCATGTAGACAAACAGTAAACAGTAACCAAGGTAGAGAGCGTATTCTAAGCTGTGACTCTATTATAAATACTGCTCATGAAACTACTACATCTGAACAGCAAATATCTGGCAATATATTTAAGCCTGATATTAAAACACAAGAGTCAAGCTACGAAAAATTGACAACTGAACATGCTGAATTGAAAAGAAAATATGATGAGTTATCATCAAAATATGAACAGTGTGTACTCAGAATAGAGCATGTACTTGCAAGTGATACAAGCTTTAAATTTTACACAGGTTTTCAAAATTACCAGACATTTCAAGCCTTTTTTTTAATACCTGCAACCAGCATGCAATTTTTTAACCTACACTGGTTCAAGTGACAATGTAGAATATACATCAGAATCAACTCGAAAATTAGGACGACCAAGGTCAATGTCACCAGAGCAAGAGTTGTTCATGGTCCTGGTTCGCTTACAATGTGAGCTTATGGGAGTTGACATTGCTTACCAATTTGGCATCTCAGAAGCACATGTTTCTCGTATCAGGGTTACTTGGTTAGAGTTTCTGTAACACAGGTTAAGGGCCATTCCCATTTGGGCATCACAGGAATATATACCATGCCACAGCCTTTCAAAGATACCTACCCAAACACCTGTGTAATAATTGATTGTACTGAACTACTTGTAGAAATGCCTACTTCATTTAGAAGTCAATCAGCCACATATTCATCATATAAAAATCATAACACAGCAAAGGGATTAATTGGAATTTCTCCAGCTGGTTATCCAACATTCGTGTCTGAATTATATGCCCGGCCGTCTAGTGATAAACAAGTCACCAAGGATTGTGGTATTCTTAATTTACTTGAGCCAGGAGATCATGTTATGGCAGACAGGGGGTTCGACATAGAAAATGATATGCCGGCTGGTGTTGGGCTGAATATACCACCATTTTTTAATGGTGCACCCCAACTGTCACTTAGCGATGAAACTGAAACACAGAAAATTGCTGCTCTTAGAGTGCATGTAGAAATAGCAATTGGGCACATCAAAAATTTGAAAATAATCAAAAATGTTTTTCCACTGAAAATGTCGTCAGACCTGAACAAGATTTGGATAATTTGTTCTTACCTTACTTTGTTTTATCCACCTTTAATTAATTAATAAATGTTTAAGTGTAAATTAAAATGCACAAATTAAATAAATCTTATTCAGTTTAATATATTAATTCACTATTTTACTTGTTTAGGGTAAATGTATGTGAAATAAAATAAAGTGAGTTTTGGTAACATTGTTTTGTACCATAATTCATGGTTAAAGTAAATTCTCTCACTAGAAATGTCTTGCTTAGTGTACACAATAAAATCTCCCCATTTAACTTTGCAGGTAGCCATTAAGCCCAGAAACAGTCCAAAACCGGCCAAGTAGATAGTCGAACAAGCAAACAATATTAATACAATTTTTTTTTGTAGTTGAAAACTCCACTAAAACACCCAACAGCAGTAGCACTTAAAAGCACTTTTTTACAACAGCGAAAATATTTGAAATGAGAAAGCTAGGTATTTCAAATGGTTAGTTTTAGCGCCAAACGAGCTCAATGTTTTGGTTGTGAAAAGAACACTTGATCAAACATGTGTTGTTTTTAGACTGACCTAGTGTGAGAACATTTTCGTATCTCAAGCCGCGTGAAATGAGTCGATCGCCGTATTTTCCCATTTAAACAATGATCCACAATGTGTTCCTTATCTAAGAAGTAATTAACCAAGTACGTACCTTTACAATGTGAAAAATACCACAATTCGAGTCTGACCATATCTAATTGAAGCCCTTTCATGCTTCAGCAACTCTGTACACCATGTTAAATATTTCAAAACCATTCGCTTGGAGAAGCCAAAGACAGAGTGGAAATATAGAACAAGACGTAAAGATTTGGCAAAAGCTTTAATCGAAGTGAAAATGATAAACTTTTCTTTAAATTTTCATTTGTTCACTGTCTACTCTACTTCGAAGAAAGCAAGCGCCATGATGGAAAATTCAGCTATGTAACTAAACTACCATGTTGCTTTGTGCATTCCGCAATTGGCTCATTAGATCTTCAAATTAATTTGCTCTCCTTTACACCATAGCCTATCGAAGCAGAGATGGCTGTGAAAGTGGGTGTGGAAACATATTATGTTATTTTTATAATATTTTGCTATCACGTGATCGTGAACCTGCATGAAAAACATGATATATTAAAGTGTTCCATATTGAATTGCCTTGTTTTATTCCATTGAAAAATGCTATGCGAAAATTGCAGTTTCTACGGATGTTCCAATAGCAGAAAGAATCCAAAGGTGTCATTTTTAAAAATTCCAACAGTAAAAAACACTGACAGTGACTACACAAAAGACAAAAAAATCCGCTCACGATTGGCATGGATCAAATGTTTGACCAGAACACGAGTTTTGGATGCTGATCTTCAACGCCAAATTGACGAAAATACTATACACATTTGCGAAATCCACTTCAAGGAAGATATAATTAGACGTAAGTGGCTTTTTTGTTAAACGAAATGAATTTTGTTATGTAATTCTATATTTACTCAATTACTTAGTAACATATTGCCATAATGTCACTCGAGTGATTACATAAACAATGGCTTATAAAAGTATCAAATTACAATTGCGCACGTCAAGTTTATACGTATTTAAAAACTCAATATTAATAATTCATGAAGAAAACACTCGTGTGGCGATGTTTTATCGGGTTCGGATATACAAACTCTCTGAGAGCCTTCGGTTTGAGTTTGTGTTTCCGATATAACACTATCGCTGATGTTGTAAATAGTGCCTAAAGAGGGTTGTTAAAAGGATATTTCTTTAATTTTATAGATCCAATGTGTTCAACTCTTGTCACTGGTTCTATTCCAAGTGAGAATTTGCCTTCCAGACTACATGATGCGCCTGATCCAGTATCAAGGCGACCGATCGTACGTGTTGTCGAAATGGCCGATTCAGTTGAGTCGAAACGTGCAACAAATTCCAGCCTGAAAAGTGTAGTTAGCAATTTGAAACGAATGGTTTTGGGTCAATGGAAATACGAAGAGCAAATTCTTTCGTTAAACTACATTTGTTTGACAATGAGCATGTTTTGCCAAAGTTTCAAGTCATCATCTATTCGTCATTAAAGTTTCGTGTCAGTATATTTGGTTGGGATCTTATTAAAAGCCATCCATTTTACACTGAGAATGAACAATCAGTTAAGTTTTTCAGTTTACGTGATTTAATTAACAAATTGGAGAGCTATACACATTCTGTGCTGGTGTTCCTAAACCAAACTGTGCGGCAAAAACCGTCGAAGACCCATCTGGACCTCAAACCTCGGGAAAGAATATAATTGTGCGTCACACAATTCCTGTTATTAAGGATGCTGATACTGATACCACTGCTGGAGATGTTCAACCCTTGCCCTTTAAAGTTTGTACATTTTTCCGAACAGAAAAATGTGAGATGCTCTGCCAAGCCAGCTCGGAAACTTGTAATTCATGCTCAGCTGCTAATGATAGGTGTTTAAAGGAACTGGAAAAAAAGAATTCCATTCATGCCACACCTCTGCCCAAAAAAGCACCCCTCTCACTATCTTCTGTTCCATGTTTAGTAGCTACTATTTCCCAACAAAGGCTTGAGTGCAAGCAACTGGAGGAAAGAATAAAACATATGGAAAAATAAATATCTGTATATGGAATAAAATTAAGCGAAAGTGTAGAAAAAGACATCACCTTGATAATTTCCCAAAATTCCCTGGAGTGTTCTCCTCATATGAAGCTATTTTGGGAACAGCAAAAAAAGAGTTTTGCTGCTAATCCTAAAGGCAGACATTACCACCCACAGTTTGTCCGGTTTTGCTTGTCACTGTATGCAAAAAGTTCAGCTGCCCACAAGGCACTACAAGATGTTTTAGTATTACCAAGTGAAAGAACCCTTATTAACTATAAAAATGTTTTTAAGCCCAAGCCAGGTATTCACAATGGTAAAATAAAGCAGTTGCAAGATCTAGTCTCATCTTACTCAGGGTGTAAGAGGTAGGTGACCATTGTATGCACCGGAATCGCAGGGCCGTTCAATTCCTACCAGAGGACCTTGTGCTGCATTTTTCGCAGTCGTTCCTGGTTAGGTCTTAAAATGTATATATTCTCACTTGGATTCCAAACCCTAACATTCTAATATGTGACCATTGTGTTTGATGAGATGAAAATAAAATCTTCCCTCGTTTTTGATAAGAACAGTGGTGAAATTGTTGAATTCACAGACCTTGGTGACCCTGAATTGACTTTTTCTTCATTTGAAGATGAGCAACCAATGGCAACAACAGTTATTGCATTCTTAGTAAGAGGGCTGATGACTTCTTTAAAGTTCATCTGTGTTATTATTTCACATCGCAGTTGCAACATCTTTCCAGATCTTCAACTTCTTCTGGCAAGTTGTGTCAGTGCTGGAGCTCAGAGTGGATCTTTGGTGTGTTGCAGCAACAGCAGATGGTGGTTCGCCCAACAGGAACGTAAAGGTCTACAAAATCCTTTACATGTTACATAAAGGTCTACAAAATCCTTTACATGCTGGGGTTATTTATTATGCAATTAACCTATTTGCACCACAACGTAAACTTTACTTTTTTGCTGATGTGCCACATGTCATTAAAACAACACGAAATTGTCTTTACTCATCTGGCTGGGATGTTGGGCATATTCACACAAGATGTATGTGGAATAATGACAAATACTTGTTGTGGCTTTATTGCACAAGCATATTACCATGATCAGGAGGGGCTTTTACAACACCGAAAATCACCTTTGATCACATCAAACTCTCATCATTTGGAAAAATGAAAGTTAGCTTTGCTATCCAGGTTTTTAGTAAATCTATGGCTAATGCACTACGATATTTCCATGCAGGTGGTGAGGCAGACGAGTTGGCTAAATTCATTGAAATGGTTAATGATTTCTTTGACATGGCAAATACAAGATCTTCTACTGAGCATGTACACAAGAGAAATCCTAACGTGAAACAATACACGGATCCAAATGACCAACGACTTACATGGATGACTGATGTGTTTTTACCATATTTAGATCAGTGGAAAACAAATGTTGCCAGCAGACCAGGCTTTACCAAAGACCA